CAACCCCCCCCCCCCTTTTTATAAAGTTCCTATCTTTCTTGTTTCGATTCGTTCATGGGTTTTGAGGAATCTGTTGATTTTTGCTTCTGTTGTCGCTTTTTTGTTCGGATTTCGGATCTGGGTACTTGCTTGAATCCCCATAATAAGCTGGATTCCATACAATTTCTATCCTTGCTCAGTACTGTAAAAAAAAAAATCAGGCCTTTACTCTGTGTATCGCTCGCTTGTTGACTCTGGTCGATGCCCATAATATAAGTTCGTCTCGTGTTTGGTGGGCTAAAACTCTTTGTTGAATACCCGTGAATTCTCCTCCTCCTGATTACAGTATCGTATCTGTGTGTGTGCTGTTGAATCGGATTCATGTCGTGTTCTTCGTTTTCTGTCTTAGATTAGCATATGCGTTGATGTGATGTTTGATTCTGAATTTAACAGGGGTGTCTAAGTCAATCAGCAACTGCGCATCAACAGCTACTTCCAGAGGGAGCAACATCTCCAGCGACAGCAGGTTCTCTGCAAGCAGCGGCGATGAAGCTTATCCCAATGGTCAGATACTGTCCACTCCGAATCTGAGGATATTCACCCTCGCCGAACTGAGAGCCGCTACCAAGAATTTCAAGTCCGAGAATGTCCTTGGAGAAGGAGGGTTCGGTAAGGTCTTCAAAGGTTGGCTCGAAGAGAAGGCCTCCAGCAGGCACGGTAGCGGAACAGTGGTTGCTGTAAAAAAACTGAACTCAGAGAGCTTCCAAGGATTCGAGGAATGGCAAGTGAGTACATCACATGTATTCAGCTCGGTTATCGATTTATCGTGAGTGGTTTCCCGTGATCTGGGTTTCGATCCTTGCTTAGTTTACGATCTGCACTGGCTTGTCCGTTTTTTGTTGCAGTCTGAGATACATTTCCTGGGAAGGCTTTATCATCGGAATCTCGTGAAGCTGTTGGGGTACTGCTTGGAGGGCCAAGATCTGCTCCTTGTGTATGAGTTCATGCAGAAAGGAAGCTTAGAGAATCATCTCTTTCGAAGTAAGAAAGGATTTCAAGAAACTATACGTGTTTTGATCCGATAATTTCCCCGAGATTTCTGACACTTCTGTGTTTGCTTTTCTGTCTTCAGAGGGCTCCTCAGTTCAGCCTCTCCCATGGGAAATAAGACTTAAGATCGCAATAGGAGCTGCTAAAGGTCTGGCATTTCTGCACACTTCGGAGAAGCAGGTGATTTACCGAGACTTCAAGGCCTCGAATATTCTACTCGACGGGGTGAGTAAGCGTAGATGTGATTCGAAACCGATTGGCATAGCAAATTGTATTACCGAGCAACGAAGCTCACAGTGCTGTAATACCCTGCTCTCGTTTTGCAGTCGTATTCTGCCAAGATATCGGACTTTGGGTTGGCCAAACTGGGTCCATCTGATAGCCAATCTCACGTCACGACTCGGGTTATGGGGACATACGGCTATGCAGCTCCCGAGTATGTTGCTACAGGTACTTCCCCCATTCAAGATTCGATGTTGTAATCTGAATGGATTCAGGACACTAATTTGATACCGATTTTTCAGGACATTTGTATGTCAAGAGTGATGTGTTTGGTTTCGGAGTTGTTTTGGCCGAGATTTTGACTGGTCTGCATGCACTTGACACGAACCGGCCTAGCGGGCAACACAATCTATCGGACTGGATCAAGCCTTATCTAGCCGATCGGAGAAAGCTGAGGAGCATAATGGACCCTCGTCTCGAAGGGAAGTATCCATTAAAAGCTGCATTCCGAGTGGCTCAACTTGCTTTGAAATGCATCGGACCTGAACCGAAGCAACGTCCTCCCATGAAAGAAGTGGTGGAAGCTCTCGAACGCATCGAAGCTGCCAACGAGAAGCCATTGGAGCGGAGGAATCTTTCTTCCCCGACCATGGCGAGGAAGCAAAGTCCTTATCACTCGCACCATCAGTCTCCGTATCATCCACGGCAAGAAGCAGCCCGGCCATAATTCTTTTTCTCTTTCTGTTTCTGTAATTCTTGAATATTTCAATTTGTATAATCTGTGGAACCTATAGACGAGATATCTGTTGTAACATTGATTTGTAATGTAAACTGCTGTGCTTAGTTGCTTAGAAGCAGGCTCAGGACTTTATATTGAAATTCAAAACCTTTATCTATGGAGTTTTGTGATGTGAAAGCTTTCTGCAATGGCTTGACGCTTTATCTAAACGCCATTGAAATGGGTTTTTGCTTGCTCTGATAAGATCCAACATGGGTTCACATGTAGGTTCCCTGTTTTCCAAGTTATCATCTTGGCACTCCATGATCAAGCAAGCTTCGATCCATGGAAAATGGCGGGAAGTGCTATCTGGGTATTGTGAAATGCAGAGATCTGGGCATCGACTCGATGACCCTTTCACTCTTCCCGTCGTACTCAAAGCTTGTGCGAAGCTTTCATGGTTGTTTCACGGTAGATGTATCCATGGGAGCCTGATCAAAAGAGGATTGGATTCCTCTATTTCCGTTGGGAACTCCATTGCCGATTTCTACATAAAATGCGAAGACTTATCTTCGGCGATTCGAGAATTTGATTCTATGAGATGGAGAGATTCTGTAACTTGGAACATCATCGTTTTTGGTCTTCTGGATCGCGGTTTTGCAGAAGAAGGGCTATGGTGGTTCTCCAAGTCAAGAGCTTGGGGATTCGAACCCAATGTCTCTTCCATTATTCTCGTGATTCACGCGTTCCGAAATCTCGGGAGGCATCTCGATGGAGAGAAGATCTATGGCTACGTGATCCGAAGCGGGTTCATGAACATTCCTTCAGTTCAGAACTCAATCTTGTCCATGTATGCTGAGTTCGATTGTACGGAAAGTGCACGCAACCTGTTCGATGAAATGTCCGAAAGAGATGTCATTTCTTGGAGCGTCATGATCGGAAGTTATGTCCGAAACCAGGATCCTCTTATCGGTTTGCAGTTCTTTCAGAAGATGGTTCACGAGGGAGAGACAGAACCAGATGGCGTAACAGTAACAACTGTTCTCAAAGCCTGTGCGGTTATGGAGGACATTGAATTCGGAAGATCAGTCCATGGATTCGTCATCCGTAAAGGTCTCGGATTCGCGGATGAATTCGTGGGCAATTCGCTGATCGATATGTATTCGAAGAGCGG